ATACAGTACATGGACAAGTATTGCACAATGTGGCATCAGAAACAGAGTTATGTGGAGGCATTCAGAGAAGACTCCCTAAAGATGTGACTGCACTTCTGAAATAGCACCCAAACAAGCCAGGCTCCTGGAGAATCCACGGATGCAAAAGAATCAGCATCCAAATAATCGCTGGATTTATTTTGTTAATTATGGTTAGATATTTAGAAAGGAAAATATGTGAAAACCACCTGCTTCCTTCAAGGGAAACTGGGAGAAGGTCCTAAAAAAGTCCCCAAGGAAGTTAAATCAGGAATGAAGTGCAATTATAGGGTGAACCAAGTGATTTGGAAACACAGAGATTGATGACCTACCAATGGCAGGATGAGGAAAAATGGAAGAAACTCCTTTTGAGCTGTGCCTTGCAGATGATTCAAGTTACTAAGACAGAGGATAAGGGACAGTGTGGTTCCAGCACAAGCAAAGACAGAGCAGCGTCAAGAAGCAGGTTCGTGGGCACTGCGAGTGTTCAATATGGTGGCAAGTAAAGGATGCGGGTGATAAAAAATAGCAGGAGGTGAGTTTTATTTTTCTTTAACAGATTTATTGAAGTAAAATTTATACACCATAAAATGTACCTATTCCATGTGCACAATGAATGATATTTAGTAAATGTATAGAGATGTGCAACCATCACCAAAATGAAGTTCTAGAATTCTTCCACCATCCCCAGATGTTCCCTTATGCTTGAGTATAGTGTTTTTGTCCTGCTGCTTTCACTTTGCATGAAGGTGAAGAAGTCCAAGAACTATCGTCTCAAAATATGGCACCCTGAGATACTGATTGTTTTAATTAAAGGAATGTAGAGAACAGTGGATGCTGGAACAAGCATTTTTCTATCTCCTTATCTACTTACAGTCCAAAGCTGCCAAGAATGAAAATAACCCTAGTCCTTTTCTCAAGCTTGCATTAACTTAACTCCTATGGACCAAAATCATTGCACAAATCTGTCAACACACCCGGCAAGACTTTTGTCACACTCCATTGTCTTCTACTTCAGTCCCATTCAATATTCCAAAAGAGAATTATTTATGATACGTTATCTGTTCTGCAGCCAAAAGGACTTCCCAGGCTATTAATGTTTCTCAAGTCCATCAAATTCCCCTCAAAATCATTTGCAATTCCCCTCAAAATTGTATATGTTCTTCACTCACCTCCTCTTCTATAGAAAAAGGTTATACAAAGGATGATGAAAATATATGGTGAATGCCTGTATTTTAAAAATTTATTACAGGAGAAGACACTTTGAACACACTTATCCCATCATTCTTGCCACTTTCTGAACCAGTTCTGGAAGTCTTCTTTTGTGTCTTTATGAGGTGTGATCAAAAATACAGTGAATGCTGCTCAACCAATGAAAGGCTCATAAAAACATGTATTCTCGTCCGCTGGCTATCTTCTAATTATTTTGTTATTAATTTATTTCAGCTAATCTTTGGAGGGAGAAGGAATTTCACCTCTAAGGTTTTGAGGTTCATCCTTGTTCAACATAGATCAATAGTTCATAAACCAATTTGTAAATATTCCACTTTTAAGTCCATTCACCAGTTGATGCCCATTTAGATTGTTAACATTTTTGTCTATTATGAATTACGCTATGTGCATTCACATACGACCCTTCATCTGGATATGCTTTCACTTTTCTTGAATTAAAAGTTGCCCGATTTAGTAAGTAAAAATATAAGATACCCAGTTTAAATGTGAGATAAGCACATTGTTTTAGTATAGTCCATTTAATACCTGAGACATAGTTACACTAAACTATTATTTGTTGTTTACCTAACATTCAGATTTAACTCAGAATCTTGTATCTTATCGGGGAGTTTTATGGTGCATAGACACCTAGAAATGGAATTGTTGGATCATATAACAGGTTTACACTTAAGAAACTGCCAATGTGTCTTCCAAAAGGACTGTACCACTTTATATTCCAGCAATCGTTTCCCTCATCCTCCCCAACATTTGATATTTATTGATTTTTGCTTTAAGTGGCCATTCTAGTGTATGTGGAGTGGCTTCACATTGTGGTTTTAACTTCATCAATAATCTTTACAAAGAATTGTGTTTATTAGCTATTCATGTATCTTCTTGGGAAAATGTCTATCAAGTTATGGCCAATTTTTTAATTGGGTGGTCTTATAGATTTGTAAGTTCTTAATATATTCTGAATGCAAATAAATTTTTTCCAGGCTGACTTTTCACTTAACATTTTTTATAAATCCAAAAGATTTTAATTTCAATGAAGTATAATTTGTCAATTTGGTTTAAGGTTTTGCTTTTGATGTCATTTACCATCATAACAAAATGGGAATCCTCTAATCCACAAACATGGAAGATTTCTGTACTTATTTTTATCTTAATTTCTCAGCAGCATTTTCCAGTGGAATAAATTCATTTTTGTATTCTTTTTAATGTTGAGTGGTTTTAATTTTGAGACTGTCATTGCTGATAAAATTTCAACTTTAAAATATTGATCTTGTATTCTACAACCTTACTAAATGTTTTAGTTCTAGTAGCTTGTGTGTGGATTCCTTAGGGTCTTACAGGACCACGTGATTGTGAAGACAATTTCTTTTCTTCCCTAATCTAAATGCCTTTAGCCATTTGGGAGAGGGAGAGCTGGATAGATCCATCACTTCAACACTGATCAGAAACAGGTAAGTGTGCATGTTCTTAACCTGTTCCCAATTTAAGGAGAAAAGCATTGTCTTTCATTATTGTTTGTTGTAGGCTTTTCACAGAAGCCTTTTAGATTCAGAGTTCTATTTTGTTCCATTGGAAGTTTTCATCATGGATGTTGAATCCCATCAAATGCTTTTTTTCTAACTATTTGACTATGTGGGTTTTATCATTTCTTGTTAACGTGGTATTATAATACATTAAATGATTTTTGGATGTTAAATGAAATTTTCAGCCACAAGACATAATATTTTGTCCTGATACATAAACCTTTTGTTGTTTGAATCAGTTAATATTGTGTTTTAGAACTTTTGGATGTCATCATGATCTTGGAATACTTTATAGGTAAAGACTGTAACATTTTCCTTTAATCCCTGCATTAGCTATATATCAGAAATTTTGATATGCTATGTGCTCATTTTCACTGTTAAAACTATTTTTAGGGCCGGGGATTTAGCTCAGTTGTTTCGCTGCCTTCTGCGCATGCGCAAGGACCTGAGTTCGCTCCCCGGTACCAAAAAAACCCCAATTTTTAACCAAACATTGTGGCAATGTCTGTAGTTCCAAGCTACTTGGAAGGCTGAGGCAGGAGGATCACTTGAGCCCACAAGTTAGAGATAAACCTGGGCAACACAGCAAGACCCTGTCTTAAACAAATAAAAATAATTTTCTAATTTTCCCTTAAGATTTCTTCAGTACATAGGATATTTAGAAGTGTTAATTTACAAATATTTAAGGATCTGCTAAATTTCTCACTGTCTTCTAATTTCAGTGTGGCTGGAGAATATACTATTTCAATCCTTTTAAATTCTGAGACTTGTATTATGGCATAGCACATAGTATCCCTAGAGAATGACAAAGGCATAGTAGAAAAGATGTGTTTTGCTATTGTGTGTGGTGTTCTAGAATGTCAAGACAAATTAGCTAACAGCACTGTCTTACATGCTCAGTGATTCTATCAAGTTGTCCTATCAATTACTGAGGGCACAGCTTTGAAATCTCCAAATATTATTGTTGAACTGCCCCTTTCTTTTCAATTGTCATTTTCTTTTTTTTGGTTGTTAGGTGTGTATACATATATAATTGTTACACTTCTCTGGTATGTTGATCCTTTTATCATGTACAATATCCTGCTCTATTTCTAGTAGTATTTCTTGTCTCAAAGCCCACTTTGATATGAATATAGCAATTCCAGGTCTCTTATGGTTACTGTTCATGGTATACATTTTCCCATATTTTAAAGCTGTGTATGAATCTAAAGTGCCTCTGTGACACCACATAGTTAGTTTTAATCTATTCTGACAATTTGATGCAAGTGTTCAGTTCATTCACATTTAATGAAATTATTGGTATGGTTAGATACACGGCTGCCATTTTGTAAATGCCTCTAAATGTTTCAAGTCTTTTTTGCTTCTCTGTCCCTCTTTCTGCCTTTTATGTTAAATATTAATGTACTCCAAAAATATCTGTGTGATGTTTTAGTGGTTGGATCTAGGGACTGTAGCAATATGCATCTCAGTTTATCATAATCTCCAGATTAAGGCTAATGTAATTTCAATAAAATACAGTTTTGTTGGGTATTTCCTCTTTTAGAAATATCCAAGATTTGAATGAGCTTGGAAATTCATTCAGAATGGATAAAAAAGCAAGAATCAACTACATGGTATCCTAGGGGAACGCTCAGATGCTGATCCCCTCCTCAGATTTAAAGCCACTATTATACACCAGATTTATATTATAAACTCAACAATATATAATTATTGCTTTATAAAGTGTAATGTCACTTAAAGAAAACATATTGTGGTAAGCAAATGTATTACTAAGATCCCCATCCTCTGACTGATCAAAGACTAATCCTGGTACTGCTGTGAAAGGTCTGTACAGATGAAAAATGAAGTTACCAACTAGGGAGATTATCCTGGATTATCCCAATGGGCCTAAAATTATCACACAAGCGCCTTTAAAAGCAGAACAGCAAAGAAGCAGCAGAGAGATGAGGTGGAAGAGAAGTAGAGAAGAGATGAGGCAGAAGGGTGATCAGAGAAAGGAAATGTGAGAAGGACTCAACAAGCTGTGGCTGGTTGTAATGATGGAAAGAGGAAGGAGGCCATGAGGCAAGGAATGTGTGTAGCTTCTAGATGCCAAGGGTGAGCCCTAACCAATGATCAGCAAGGAAATGGAGACCTCAGTTCTACAACCTCCTGGAACTGAATGAAGTCTGCCAACAATCTGGGTTTAGAAGCTGATTCATCCTAAGCCTCCAGAAAAGAATGGAGCCACTGGCATTTGGGAAAAAAAGTAATTTATTTGCATTGCTTCCATTTTTCTACTGTAGTGTTAGGACTTAAACATCACTCTCCTATTTCCTATTTACAGTTCATTTGGAATATTACTACAAATACAATATACAATTTTTTAAAACTTACGGGGAAATGCAGTTTATGTTTTTTTCTCCTTTGCAGCTTCTCAAAATCATTCAACGTAAGTGAAAATTTATACGGACATTTTCTGTACATATCTGAAAGGGCAGAGCTTACACTGATAAAGTCAAAAGAATTCTGCACAAATACAATAAAATACAGAAAACAAAAGGTACAGATGATGTTATTTGGGGAACAATATAAACAATACAGTACCATTTAGGTAACTTAGCAACACAATACCCATACTTTATAGAAATAAAACTGCAAACCTGGAGAATGCTCTGACAAATATTAAACATTATATACACAATGAGGTAAATGTACCTTGGTCTCTTGAGAGGTAATTTAAGTTTAAAGCAATTGACATTTTGAAGCATCTCCTTGACATATAAAGAAATATCAAACACCCCATTCCATTGGCACAATGTGAAAAGGGGGATATCAAAACATGGTTCATGATACTCAATGCACAAAAATCTTATTAAAAAACAAATTTACTGTTTCTTTTTTAAGTTTTAAGGAACAGGTTGAATGTTATTAACCATACTTTTTAGAAAGCTTACATTTACAAATTAGATTGCATAATGAGATTGAAAATAATGTACTGACAATCCTAACATCCTAGGAACCCAGCATTCCTAGAGAGGGCCATATTCCAGCATTCCAAAACAGACACAAGAAGCTGCAGTACATGTCCAGTGCTATTCTTTAGGATCTCAAAATACTTGAGTATTTTTCTGCCAAGCTGTAACAGAACCATTATTTGGAATCTCCACCATTTAGAGCCAGAACACTGCCACAATCAAGAAACAAAAGAAACAGGTGATTTACCATCATTCCTTCAGTGCATGGGGGAAAAAAAGTAAGTTTGATACATCTAATACGATACTGATTTTATGTGTGGTAATTAGCACTTTGTCATTTGTTTTAGAATACAGTCTATATCTGACAGGTCTCAGACATAGAGAAAAAAAAAGTAGCTCATCAAGGCTGCAATTGGTCAAATGATCACTTCAGTAAGAACTGAAATCTGAAATTCTTGATAGTCGTGGCACTGTATACTGACTCAAGGCACTTCTCGAGCACTATCATTACAGCATAATTACAGGCCCAGCATTTCAGGCCTGACTGTTCTACTTGGGATGTAACTGGCCACTGCTTCTGGCACAACTCCCACTGTCACACCTGCCACCCTACTTCTTGTCTATGGCTGAAGTGAAAGCAGGGCAACCAGCAGGAGCATCCCAAGCCTCATCTCCATACTTGGAGACCCTTCCCTGACACAACCAATGATTCAAGAAAACGGAAGTATTTCCCACAACTTCCATCAATCATCTTACTCCAGGGCCTCAAAAGCAACACTTCAGTCAAAAGTCTGAGGGTGCGGGTGAGAGGTAATGGTCGCTGAGACCGGGTCCAGCAGGAAGGTAGCTTGGGAGAAACAGAGCTGAAGACACGAAGAAAGGAAGGGCCAGGGAGATCTATGTCCCAATAAGTCATACTTGCCCCATTTTCACTCCTTTGGGGTACTGACAAAATCATGTGCCAAAAGACATGTTTTAGTCACACTAAATCTTCGAAGGTGAGCATTTTAGGATAGGCAATATAAACAAAGGACTATGTTTCTAAACGATAAAAGTATTACTCCAGTCAAATTTATCTGCAGTCATGGCCACAGTAATCACGAGCCATATGATCTTTTAAGTAACTTTCATTTTCAGTGTTAACCAAATGGGGTTCATCAAGCTGTCCCTAGCCAAAATAAGAATTAGATGCAGGGCGGGGGATTTAGCTCAGTGGTTCCGGCGCCTGCCTCGCAAGTGCAAGGGTCCCAAGTTCAATCCCCGGTACCAAAAAAAAAAAAAAGAATTAGATGCAGTAAGATGTAAACTGAATTTAGAACTATACTCCAACTTAAAAAAAATTCCCTGATTCATAAAAAAGTACATTTTATCGACTTAGGCAAGAACAGTATAATAATAACTCAATCTTTGATGTAATGAGGACTATCTTTAGCAAAAGTTGATTACCTTATATGAAAGCGAGAAATAATGTATTACAACTTTAAATCAGACAACTTTTGGTATGTTCTTAAAATTATATAAAAATAGTTATAGTGATAAAATGCATTGGTCCCCTGGATTTCATAAAGCAGATCTTGTAGGCTTAAGAAATGCCCCCCAAAGTACCTGATCATAGAACTAGAGATTATTAAACAGGTAATATAACACAACTATAAAAACAAACCTCTCAAACTTATTCATTTGTTTCAATGAAATCATGACTGACTACAGAAAAAATTGTAGTCAAAATATTAACCTCTAAGAACATTTTCCCCATGATGTTTTAATCACATGAAATTGACACTAGATTCCTATGTAATGTCATTCCTTCTAGAATTACTTTGGTTTTAAGACCAAGTAGTCTTTCAAATTTATTCTAGGTATAAGATATAAGACATTATCAGAATCCAATTCATTCAGCATAAATGGCCACAATTTCTTCCTGACTATAAAGGTTATTCTGACCTTTTTATCAGGGAACTGATAGCACTATGAAGTCAAAGTCTTGCCTCACAGCTATGATAGTTTTCTTCCCCCCTCAGAATAAGATCACAGTGATAAAAAGGACTTTGAAAACTGTAAAAGCCCAGCAGACTTTACAGTACTCTTAAGTAAAAAACAATAATCATAAGATAGTTTTAACTTGATGTGAGAACACCATAACAAGTTTACTTTAAACATTTGATTTGACTGAAAACATCTGTAAACGGAGAACCTACATACAGAATGTTCTCTAGCTACCACCTCTCCCATTATCGAGAGTGCACTGAAGTTATTATGCAACCATGTAAATTAAGCAGTTGCAGTATCTGCACATATGAGATAAGGAAAGACTAAATTAAAAGCTGCCTTCCTCAAAATGTAGTGAGACCTCAAAACTACACTGTTAACCTTACAAAGACAGAGAATCCATAGAACACTTACACCTACATAACAAATGTGCCTGTCACGCACATCTGTCGTCTTTTTGAGTTATTAACTACCTTTGCCTCTCTAAAAGGCCTATTACTTAACATTAACCATATTCTATTTTAAATGTAATTCATTTCTTAAAAAAATAACACTGTTGTTGATCAGATAAAGAAAAAAAATGGCTTACAGAATACCACACAACTTTTCACAAGCAGCTAGACAAACTTTCCCTTATAGAAAAATTAGTCTATATGCTATGAACATTAACTTATTAAAGCACTGTAAGCATCTAGAGTGCCACTTGACTTTTTAAAAAATACTCAGACAACACAACTGAACTCTAAAAAGCTCAAAGTGAGAATATTCCAACATGACCATAGTAACAATTGGCTTATTAATGCCACAGCATTTCTTTAGTGGTTCAAGCACATTTTGGTAGGAGAAAGGCATTTTCAAAATGGAATTTCAATGTCATACCACAAAATCCCTTCAAAAAAAAAGGTTTGAGTTATTCAGATAAATAAACTTTTTGAATTCAAACACTATAGGTTTTAACACAGAGACTTCAAGCACTTCTACTCATTTCCATTAGAAAGACACAAAAGTGGCACTTTCTGGTATAGTACAATCCCATTTTGAAGGCATGTAATGTTCTGAATATGTGAAAGAACAATAATAGTATACAAAATACAATTGCATAAATTATGTTCCTCACTACTATATGAGGTCCTTTTTAGACTCAAGATAAGAGTTTTATAAGTATTTGTTTTAAGATCCTGAAAAATTATAGAACAGTACATTCAAAGACTGAATCAAGGAAATTCTTTAGTGGTTCAGAATCCTCTGAGAATGTACTACTAACCAGGAGTAAATCACTTTCTTTAAAAATAACTCAATAGTCCAGCTCCTTTGCCCTTAAAGATGATCTTCATCACAGCAGTTACCTAAAGTTAAGACAAGCAATCATCGTTTAAAAAACAAGTTTTGTTAATAAAAAATAAAGGTAGACTATACAACATTTTGTAACTGTCCTGGGAAAGAAGCGTTCATAGTGCACAGAAAGGACCCAGATGGCTGTTTTCTGGGTCCAAAGAAATCCTGGGACGTTTTTAATTGACCTTATTAGACTGTTGCAAAAGGAAGCAATATCCTTCTGTTCCCTCTCAATGAGGTAGAACAATTGGCCTCCCAAATGAAAACCCAGGAGCAGATCTGAAGAAAAAGTAGAGTTCAGGCAAAGCTGCAGAATTACATTTTGATGCCTTCCTGTTGACTGAGTTGTGACAATGTTTTCTTAATCCTCAAAGCTGTCAGCCTAGCTGCTCCATTAGCATACCAACATTCTCTCATAATTTTAGCCATCACTCTCAGGGCCTACAACAAGATATAAGAAAATTATTAATCCACATACTATTTTTTAATTGAGCTGAATAAAAATCTTCACCTATAAATTTTCTTTCAAAATAATATATGTACAAATATTGTTTTGAGCATTATTTGTAATAGCAAATGAATGGAAATGACCAATACTAATAGGGTACTAGTGCTAGCTTCTAGAAAGCAGATGGACAAGGGGTGACTTAGTAGATCTGAAAAGTTAAATCCTAATCCAGCACTGGTCAAGGCAAGAAGAAATCTGACTCACACTGAGACTCCCTCAAATTGGGAAATTAACTACATGAAGCACCCCTAGGGTGAAGCTTAGGGTAAAACATGGGGGGGGATCAGCTCAAAAAGCTGGAGCCCCAGAAACCTGTCCTTTTGCCCATCTTTATGCAGCTGGGTAACTGTCCACCCCTAACTCAAGAGATGACTAGAGGTTTTTATCTGAGAGGGAGAAACACAAGGACCTTGAGAACATGAGGGCAGAAGTTTCATAATGGAAATATACTGAGGATTACGACTGTAAGCTTTCTCCCCAAAACATGGGCAGCACTTTGTACATATTCCTCCAGTCAAAGAATCTTCTCTGGAAATTTGAGCAGCCCAGGAGGAAAGATCTAAAGAAAGATGTCAGTAGTTTTTCAAGAAAACAACCCAGTGAGGTCCCCTTAAGAGACAGTCAATAAGCTCTACCACACACAAGTTTCCTGTCAGCTTTTGGATCCCCTCTTTATACATAAAAAGAGAATCTGATTATATATTTGAGGAAATTAATATGAAATGGAGAAACTGAAACAGAAAAAAGCAACCTGAACAAAACAAACTGTAGAGAACAACATAATAAAATTTATCATTAGCACGAGAGGTGTAGGTCAGTGGTAGAATGCTCGCTTTGCTAGCATGCACAAGGCCTTGGGTTCCATCCCCAGCACCACACACACAAAGAGATAAAAGAAAATACTGATACACTTTATACTTCATTTCCCCTGGACAGTCTCTAGCTCAAAGGTGCTTCAGTTCCTGTATTTCATATTAGACGTTTTCCTCAATGAACGGGAGTATAAACAATAAGTGCTCCTGGAAATTAAAAATATAAGAGCATAAATGGAAAGAGTGAATAGAAGAACTGCAAGATAAAGGAGCTAGACCTCCCAGATGACAGAGAAGGTAAGAAAATAAGAGGGCTTCCTAACATTCACATAACTAAAGTTAAAGAAAGAGAACAGAGGAAGACGGAGAGGAACCAATTCAAAGATACTTTAGGAGCACTTCCTAGAAAAAAACCAACTGTTTCCAGAGTAAAAGGACCATATGCCAGCAATATTTACTGAATGTCTCCCATATAACAGACTATTTTAGGTCCCAGGAATATAACAGCAAACAGATGAAAGACTGTCCTCATAGAACTTATAGTCACAGATACATAAATTACTGTAAAATACATGAACTATCACACAGCGGTAAATGCTAAGGAAAAAAATAATTCAGAGGAGTCAAAATATGCCAAGGGAGGTGGATACTATTTTAAATAGATAGAGAGGTAATGTCTCAATGACAAGGCAACCTCTGAACTAAGACTCAAATGAGGGGAACAAATAAACCAAAAAACAAGAAGAAAACATTAGATCCAAGAAGGAGGAATTGACATTAAAGAGAGACAGAGAGAATCTCAAGATGAAAGACAAGGGACATCATAAGATAAAAGCTGTACAGCTAACTTTAAGATGAACCAGTCAAGACTAGAAACAGAAGGCTCTCAAAAACTTATTTAGGTATTATACCAGTTTCATATTCTTTTTTTTTTTTGGTACCGGGAATCGAACTCCGGTCCTTGTGCTTGCACAGCAGGTGGCAAAACCACTGAGCTAAATCCCCGGCCCCCAGTTTCATATTCTTGACATGCTTCAACTATCAAGAGACTTATAATACCACAGGAAGTAAAAGACAACTAATAAAAAGTACACAGAAAGCTAATCAAATTGAAAAAAATTAAAATGATAGTGATGGTATTAATTCAGCATGATTTGATAGTGACTACAAATTACACACCTGTTAATATTTAACTTTTCTTCACACTTAAAAATAACCTGCTCACAATTTTGTTTATTTATTTATTTATTTTTGGTACTGGGGATCAAACTCGGGACCTTGTGCTTTCAAGGCAGGCACCAGAACCACTGAGTTAAACCCCCCGCCCAAAAATAACCTGTTTAATAATACTCTGTTCTAATTATTAAAAAGACACTTTCATTTGTTAAACTAGGCCACATGCAAATTCTGAACATGCTGAGCTGTACCTCATCTGGGCTGGAGGTAAGTAGTACATTTTTGATATTAGAGTCTCTCTGGAGTACTACATTGTTTTAAGAAGTAAAATCAACTACTGAAGTGACCAGCTTTTACTACACCTAAGCTACAAGACTTCAATCTGCTTCACCAATATCATAATAGTAGCAGCGGCAATTAAAGATAGTCAATAAAATTTGTCTTATAAATTTTTTAAATTACAAGAAAACAAGATTTTTTTCTAAGAGCTTGGAATGAAAAGCTCACACTGTTGGACAGCATTTTCCTCAAACTCCTGCTTAATGGTTATCTTGGCAATCATCTGTGAAATCATCTGAAACTGCTCTACAATCATTTTAGTAAGTTGTACATTTTACATAGGGATGTTGCCGGGGATTTAGCTCAGTGGTTCCGCCGCCTGCCTTGCAAGGTCCCGAGTTCAATCCCCAGTACCAAAAAAAAAAAAACACACAAAGGGATGTTAAGCCCCAGAGAAGTGAAATGACCTGTACAAAACCAATTCTGTCATGGGAGCCAGACTGGTCTAGAATACAAGTCTCCTAATTCCTGTCTAGTACTCAGTGCATTAGTATGGGCTGCCCCAGCTGAAGGAAAGCATTCACTTACTTCATCTGACACATCTAACAATGTCAGATATGCTGAAGGCCACTGCAAATGCTCTGTGGCTTTTTTAACGTGCTTGAAATTGAACATGAAAACCAAATTATTCTATTTCTACTCATTGATTTAACTACTATGAAAACAAAGAAAAGAGAATTCTTGCTTTTCCTAAAGAAAAATAGCAAATTTCTGCTTAATAAACAAGCATTTTAGAAAATGGCCTCATATCAAAAAGAAATACTCACTTCACAGCTCTGCCATCTGTTTGGAATATTTGGCCTCAGCTTCTGTTCACAAACTACTTTTCTCATTTCTTCAACTGATGGATCAGAAGGTACAAGATCATAGTAAGGCAGCTGGTAATCTTCATGAATTCCTGTAATAATTTTAAAAATTTGTTTTGGAGAATTTATATAGCTAATGCCAAACCATTAGAAAGATCACTATTGCAGTGTCCTATTATAAAATCAGGTTAAGTGGAACAAGACTGACAGGTTTCATTATTTCATCCATATCCACATCAACCTTCCCACTACTGGGCATGCACCTCAAAACTCACCACTGCCACGAGCTCAGCAAAGGGTGTTTTGTAATGATGGCTAACTGTGATCTCTGATGACCAGGTTGGCATTTTCTCCTATAACCCCACTGTACAGCAAATGAGATTTTATTCTGTGGGTGCGGTCTCTCACTGGGTACAGGGTTATATATTCTCAGTGAATTATGAATTCTACATGCCAAGCCTTAAGTGCAAGTCCTTCTACCTGCATCTGTCAATAACATGTCCTATTTGCTACAATACCAAGATATATTCCGTCCCCCACTGCCTCAAAAACTGAGGTCCTAGATCTTAGCCTGGACCCCTAAACCTAAGCGACCATTTCTTAAGTAAACACAGCCTAAGTGCTCAATCTAAAAACGAAGCCTAGAAGTTAACAAACTTAAAAAATAATGTAATATAATTGCCACTCCATTAATCTCCAACAATCACCTGGAGAAAATAACCAATTAAAATCTCAAGGAAATAAAGTTGACTCAGGCACATGCTACAGCTTCCGAGGTCACTCAGGCCAGTGTTCACTCTAAATAAATAACTATAGCTCAAGGTAATAATGCTTATGTTCTGATGTTTCCTAAGACTCAAATGGCAACAGGAAAAGACAAAAGAGTAAAGCTGTACTCTGGCATGTTCTGACACATCCCTCACTCCAGGTTTCATCTACTTGTTTTCTCTGGCACTCAGTGACACCTGTCAGTCTGTTGAACAACAGAATTTCATTCAGTGAGGAAGAGGCAATTCCTGAACAAGTTCTGATCACGACAAACTCTTGGGGAAAGAGAGAGCAATTTACCACCAATGGAGCAGCGCCGAGCTATTTCCCAGAATACTAAGCCCATTGCATAGATGTCAGCACGTTTAAAGGATTCAAAATGTTTCATATTTATGGAATCATCTAGAACTTCAGGGGCCATGTACCTAAAAAAGAAGCCAATATTTTATTTTATTGAATGGCAGTCATACTATTTAACTGTTTCATACATTTTCTTTTACTCCTGAGAATAAAATTTAAAAGCACAACCCACTATCAAAATTTTCCCTTTTTAGCATGGTTCTACTATTTTTAAAAATGATTCATACTTCTTATAAAAATTTCTCCAAGTACATAAAGTACAAAGTAAAATTCATCCCTTTTGCCACAGTACTAACATTTAGCCAGGCATCTTTTCTGACATCTACACACACACACACACACACACACACACACACACACACACAGTTTTACATAACTGAGATCATATTAAACTAAAGAAAAATATGAAATATCCACATTGGTTTGCATATTAATTATATAAATACCACAAAATGCTCAAATGGCAATTTTATGGGATGTGATTTGTGATCTTGGTTTCCAATGAAAAACACACTTATAATAGGTATGAGGGTTACAAATAACCTAATGTACACCATCTCATGTACTATGTAGGTACTATGTAATTTAATCTGGAAGTTTTCTCACTATTAAACAAGATGAAAAGGGGCTAGGACATACTCCAAGGGACAATATAGTAGATAAAAATGAATGACAGTGCTCATACTGATACTACATTATAAAGTTTCAAAAACCCTGTTAATGTTACAGATAAGGGCCCATGAAGATCTGCAACAAACATTGTGGAGGATCCCTTAGCCAGTCAAGAATTCTGAAAGTCCCCACTGAATCCAGAAATCATAAATATAATTTTGATAGGCCAAAATTGTTGATTATCTCCAAGGTCAAGACAGCAGTTTTAAAGAAATGTGACAACATGATGTCTTTAAGTACAGCAAGGGCTTTTGGGTTAGCAATCTCAGCATTTCAGCTTACTATCCAAGTGAAGGTGGTCACATTACTTAACCTCTTATTTGTGAATCAGTGGTAACAACACCTACCTAGTTAGGTCCTTTGGAGAACTCACGAATTCAATGAACACTTACTGAGAGGATCTGCCACATACTAGGCACTAGGATACTGAGAATACAAGGCTGCTCTCAAGCAGCTTACAATCTAATAAAATATACAGACACATATACAAACAGTTACAATATAACATGGTATATCCTTCGATGGCCCAAGTTCATTATGCTATGAGAGTCCTTGGCAAGGGTACTTAAGACTCTTGAGGACTAGAAAAAGGCTTCTTATGTGAAAGGAAAGGTATAAGAAAACAGCAGAGAAAAGTACATTTTAGGACACAGCACATGCAGAAGTTCTAAGGAAAAGAGAAAAGCATATTTTTAGCAACTGAAAATATGAGAACAGTTGGCCTACCTGCAGCACAGTACCTGACAAGGACATTAAATGAGGAAATATGTTAAATAACCTAGAAAGATGCCTGGCACATAGCAGGTACTCTATAAACATTCGTTGTTATTGTTACAGTTAACGTAACTGATTGATAACATTGTCTAGAAGAGCTGCCTTTCATCAGTAGGCCATCTTTTTAAGTCAGGTAACCTTCAGTACTGGCAAAACCATAAGACCTACTTATATTATCAGTACAATGTAAGTTTGAGTTTCCAAAAAGATATGCATATCCAAATGAGAAGGAGAAGAAGCTGATTTCAAGAGATATTAAATACCATTTATTCATAAGTATACCTTTTTGTTCCCACTCTGTGGTTTGGAGCAATATCAATTGTATCCGTAGCTGAATCATGTCTTACTGCCAGTCCTAAGTCTGCAATACAGCAGGTTCCATTCTTCTTTACCAAGATATTCTTTGATTTCAAATCTCTATGAGCAATGGCTGGCTTTCCTAAAGAACCAAAAGTTAAATACAATTGTCTAAGTAATATTAGTCACAATTCTATCCTTTAGGTTCAAAGACCTCTCTTCTTGTCCCAGTGTGAAAGCATTTCACCTGGCATACCAAGGTGATTAGGAAATAGTAAATCACTATATCAAATGTTGCTAAAACCGTTATACTGAGTTACCATTTATAATCCAGCCATCAACCCTTAGGTATATATCCAAGAAAACTAAAAGCATGTATCCACATAAAAACTTGAACTATTATTCGCTGTAATACTATTTATGATAACCAAAACTAGAAACCACCCACATGTTTATTAGCTGATGAGAGGACAGGTGAAGTGTGGTATATATATCCATGCAAAAGAATATTAGTCATAAAAAGTAATGCTGTACTGACATATGCTACAACTTAGGCAAATCCTGAAAACATGCTAAGTCAAAGAAGCAAATCACAAACGACTACATATAGTATGCTTCAACTTATATGAAATGTCGAGAGTAAGCAATCCGTAGAGACAGAAGGCAGATCAGTGGTTGTCTATGGCTAAGGAATTTGGAGAGGAAGGAGAGTAACTAATAATTGCTTCAGGGTTTCTTTCTGAAATAATGAAAATATCCTAAAATTAATCTGTGATGATGGCTGCACAACTCTGTGACTATTTCAAAAAACAATGAAATGTACATTTAAATGGGTGACATTATGATATGTGAATAATTCAAAAAAGCTGTTTTAATGAATGACTCAGATGGAGCTAAAATGTGAAACAGCACATGTGCTTTAAGTGGGAGTGAGGGAGCTATCAGATAGCAAATGGACAACAGCTAAACCAGAGAATCTATTAGCATCTGATATCCTACATGGCACAAATATCACAGCATACAATTATTATTTGTAGAATTAAAGCTTTCATACAAATAAGTAAAAAGAGTAAGACTCTGAGAAAATAAGATAACTATTAAGAAATAACAAAGTCTAGGTTCATAGAAAATAGTACAAAAAAGTTCCTAAGATTTGGGTGATAAACAAAACTTCCTAATACTTAGCATTTAATTTATCAATTGTAAAACTACTGCACATGATCTTATATCAAAGTTGAAACTAATTACTAGGTGTCAGATAGTATTTATATAGCATGTCATTTAAAAAGTAATTTGCTATTTCATTTGATATCACACATAAAAATACATTCTCTGAGATTGAATTCTTAAATTGCGATCCTCAAAAACTGTAAATAAGGGTGAATGCCACTTTTTAAAAATGAGTTTATTTATGCTGTACATAATGGCTACATTTATCATGGGCAGTTAGTACATATAGATAATATATTTTAACTCTTTTTTCATCCCCTACCCCTCCCATTGCTCCCTGCTCCTTCCAATTTTTGGCTCCCTTATCATTTGCAAAAGCTATATTTCCATTTTTTTTCCAATTCTTTCTTTCTTTCCTCGCTTTTCCTCCCTTTTCCCTCCATCTTTGGTTCCCCTCCCATTTGAAAAAGATCTCCCAACTTCCTATTATCTATCTTTTATTTTGCTGAATGCTTTTTAAAAGTCACAAAATATCAGTGTTGTTACAATGACTAGAGAATCCCTAAGCAAATTCTCACATTCCTAAATCTGAGATTTAACAGATAGAGAGTATGTCCTCATCTACAAACTCCATTTTAAATATCTCTAGTTAGGGTGACTTTTAATTTTGAATAGACATTAGATTTGTGAGAATTTAAAGCTTAAATAATAGACCTATTTAAAGAATTACCTTGGGTACCAACTATCTCCATGTGTAGGTGGGCAAGACCACTTGCTGTGGACAGAGCAAGCTTGATCATTCCTTCCACAGTAACTGTGTATCTATTCAAGTAATCAAAAAGGGACCCATGCTCATGATAATCTGACACCAACCAGAGCTGAGTCCATGTACCGTTGTCTGCAAAACAAAATAACAATGTTTCAGTTGGGTTATATAACATTTATGATTTATTTATTCAAAAGTTATTCCATTTTACTCTAAACTCTGAATCACACAACTGCAACATGTCACCTGAAGTTTGTTTTCTTCACATTTCCTTGTATATTGTTTATCATATACTTTCACAGACATACCACTTATATTCAGAGTAAGTCCTTATTCTTGAGATAAGGCAAGTATAATTAACCCTATTTAAGAGACCAAATAGTAGTCCACAGACAATAACCTACACAGACAGTAGCTGAGCTGTGGGATGCAAAGGCCTAAACCAGATCAGATTAGGTGCTCTGTGGCTGTTTCATGGGGGTTGGGGGGACAGGGAGAGAGATGAGAATCAGGGGGAGCCCAATAAGGCCACAGTGAGAGTGAAATAGTACGTGACAAAACTGAAATGAGCTTCAGTGAGAAGTGACAAGCTAATGACAAGATTTAGAGACAGACTGTATATATAGTTCACAAAGATGCCAGGCAAAATGATTATGATTCCAAGGTTGCTGGCTTACAAAAACAAAAACAGTATTACCTTTGACACATAGGTAAGCTGTGATGAAAACTAAACTGTCTGGAAAAGGTTGAGAAATCTGGGACTGAACCCAGTTTTATACAAGGTGATTTTGAACCTAAACAACTGGAAACATGGGTTCTATAAGTTCCCTCTGTAAGCTGATACATAAATTTGAAATGCGTTTTCTCATATGAATAATAGTAAATATGCTAGCTAGGCTCTTAGGCTAGATTGGTCCACAAAAGCATATTTAATCTAGAAGTAGCTGAAATGCTACTTTAATTAAATAATAAAGAAAACACTATAATATTAAGAGACAGCACAGTTAAATAAAAGATACGGACTAGAGTCATACTGACCTGAGCTGTAATCCAGGGCCTGCCTATTACTGATTATGCATCCTCAACAAGTTTCTAAAAAATTGGGTCTGCTTCTTCTTTCATACAAGAATAATACTTTACTTTAAGACTTTAAAAACAATATAGTACTAGATTTTTTTAAAGCAGATAGTGAAGTGTTCTTGGCTCATGAGAATTTAGAATGCGCTGTTTCCTTCCCTACTAGTGATAAAACAAAAGAAAGTAAAACCTCAAGGAAACATAAAATAACTTGTATATTTTGAAGGCTGTTACTCAAGAAAAGGAATTAATTAGAATAACTTTTGGTACTTTCATAAGGACTTAAGAGACTGTTATGGTTTAGATCTAAAATGTCCTCCAAGTCTCATGTGTTCAGAGGCTGGGCTTTTAGAAGGTGACTGGATCATGGGGGAACTATACTCATCAATGGATTAATCTACTGATGAGCTCTAGCATAGGCCTGTTCAGAAGAGGTGGGTCACTAAGGCCATGACCTGGACAGGTATATTCTTGTCCAGTTTTCCTCTGCCATGCCCTTCCACCATGCTGCTTCTGCTTTGAACCAGCTGACCATAGACAACCTCTGAAACTATGGGACAAAATAAACCTCTCCTCCATTAAGTTGGGGGTGTCAAATATTTTCTTCCAGCAAAGGGAAAGTGACTCACACAGAAAACTGGTAACAAGAAGTGGGGTTGTTTCTATGACTGTGCCTGACCACATGATTCAGAAGCCTTTGGAAGTGATTTGTGGGAGGAGTTTGGAAAGGCTGGAGATGCAGGCTAAAGAAGTCCTAGAATGCCATAACCAGAGCCTGATGGGCCATTCTGTTTGGAGCTCAGAAGACCAGAACGTTGACTGGAAAGTAGACAATAAATGCCAAACTCAAGTTTTCATTAGGAATAAGTATTCTATTGGGAAGTGGACTAGAGGCCATGTGTGTTACACTCTGGCAAAGAATTTGCCAACATTTTATCCATGCCCTAATACCCTGTATGAAGCTGAACTTAAAGGTGGTAGACTAATTAATCTGGCAAGGAAACTTCAATACAGCCCAAAATTCAGACTGTGGTGTGGGTACTGCTGGCTATTTTCAGCCAGATTTACAATGCGAATCAGGGGCAAAAAGCAGGCCCAAGGGATGTGAAAATAACGTGGCTTGGCCAGAAAAAAGCACCTATAAAATTGGGGCCAATGAGAGCATGTTTGCTGAAAAGATTAGTGCCATTAGAAAGAAGCCAAGCATTTGCCTTGGGACAATAGGAAAAATCCCTTAAGGCATCTCTGGAAATGGCCAGACCCCATCTATGCAGGCTCAAGGCTGTAAAAGGGCAGATGGATTTAAAAGACTTTGCTTTGAGAAGAGAGGCCAGGGCACCCTGCTCTTAAGATCACTTAGGAAAGTGCATCCCCAAGTTCAGCAATCCAGGCACTCAGAGGGCTCTGCAGTCATTGTCTATGGCGGGCAGGATAGTGCAGACCTTTGTGTCATCTACATGGTGGTGATTTTTCAGGCATGCAGAATGTAAGAGTTGTGGGGTTATGGAATCTTCCATCCAGACCTCAAAGCTCCTGAGAAGGTGATTAGTGAAACTGTGATAGTGAAGCCAAAAATACAGTGGAAACCCCAGGAAGTTGGATGTGCCGGGAATGTGGAACATCGGCTTAGGAAAAACACAGGCAGTGAGTGCAGTCAGCAAAAGAGAGAGGCCAGCTGGGCAGCAATGCAGCAAGGCTGCAGGGTTGGGGTTGTCCAAGCCCTCTGAAGCTCACATCTCAGCACAACCTGCCTGAGGTGCTAGACATAGAGCTACAGGATTTAATATTTACCCTGCTGGGTTCTGGTCCACTTCCTTTCTCTCCCTTTATTCTTCCCTTTAAGAATGGAAATTTTATCTTGTGCCATTATACATTAGAAGTATTTAACTTTCTTTTCGATTTTTACAGAACCTCAAAGCTATGAGTTTGCCTTAAGTTTCAGAAGAGACTTTGGACTTGGACTTTTCAGCAATGCTGAAACTGTTAAATCTTCAGCGGCTCTTAAGATGGACTAAATGCATTTTGCATAATTAGATGGACGTGAAATCTTTTGGGGCCCAGGGATGCAATGTTATGATATAGATCTAAAACATCCCCCCAAAACCTCATGTGTTCAGAGGTTGGCTTTTTGGAAAGTAACTGGATCATGGAGTCACTATATTCATCAGTGGATTAATCAGTTCATGAGTTCCTAGCTGAATGTGCTGTTTAGGAGGCAGGGCCTTATCAAAAGAGGTGGGTCACAGAGGGTATGACACGAAAGAATGAATCCTTATTCCTGGCTTCTCCTTCCTCTCTTCTTTCTTTCTGGCTGTTGTGGATTGAGTAGCTTTCCTCCATGCCCTTCCATCTTGCTCTTTCTGCCATGGAGCCAGTCAATGATAGACTGAAACTATTAGCCAAAATAAACCTCTCCTCCTTTAAAAGTGGGTGTCAGGGTTTTTTGTTTTGGGGGTTTTTTTTGGTACCAGGGATCGAACTCAGAACCTTGTGATTGCAAGGCATGCAAGGTGGCCCTGAGCTAAATCTCCAGCCCCTATGTCAGGTATTTTGTCAGAGCAACAGCACAGTGACTAATACAGAGATTAATGATACTTGTTCTTCATTTGTTCTTCATAAATTATAGAATCTGTCAAAAATTGTACCTTTTTTCCTAGACATAGGTATCACTACTTTATATGCATGCCTATTAACCATGACTGAATTTTGAAAGATCACATACAAGAAATAAAGACTAAAGTGGGCAGATGGTGGAAAGGGAGATTTTTCTGAGGTAACTGACCAGAGGCAGAAGGAAGGTTATGTAAGAGGCCATGTACTAAAAGGGCTGTCAGAAGTAGAATTAATTAAGTCAGGAGGATGAAGTTAAAAGAAAAAGGAATTGGAGTGGAAGGGCTGGATTCCGAGTAAAGTACCTTAACCACTGACAAAAAAGGAGTTGGGAAGATTTAGTAGGGTTAGCTAATTCCTGTCATGACCACCAGATGACAGCATCCGCTTGGTTGCTAAGGTTTGGCTTCAAATAATTTGATAAATGACATAGTAGGCAGGATCAGATATCAGTGTTCAGCAGTGAGTTAACAATTATTATAGCTAGTTGATGGGTCAATACACTGCCATACTGTTCTCTACTTTTCTATAAATTGGAGGTTTTCCACAAATTAAAGTTTAAAAAAATAACCAATATATGCTTGTTGTAAATAAATTTGAAAATATAGAGAAGCAAAAAGAAAAATCATAGCTGGGTGTGGTGGCAAATGCCTGTAATCCCAACACTCAGGAAGGTGAGGCAGCAGGATCACTCTGAACTCACTCTGAGTTCAAGGCCAGTCTGAACCATATACCCTTATCTCCAAAAAAGAAAAAGAGAAAGAAAATCATAAAAATTACCCATAGCCACCATCTGAGATTAAACACTTGATATTTCAGGGCCGGGGGGTTAGCTCAGTGGTTTCGCCACCTGCTGCACAAGTGCAAGGACCCGAGTTCGATCCCCAGTGCCAAAAGAAAAAAAAAAAAAACCACTTCATATTTAAAGAGATAAATACTACTGAAGAAAATGGGAAGGGAAAGGAAGGAAAAAGATGACTACAGGTCTGGCCATGGGAAAGCTGTGAAATACACTTCATTCAGGATAAGGACAGTCAGAGTCATAATGAGTCTTTGTATGGGCATACAGTTATTAACTGAAGCCAAGAAAGTAGGTAAGGGAGAGTCTAAGGTTACTACTTGCAATCATCACTCATTCCCATTAGTGTGGATTCTTCTTTGTTTGGACAGGGGCTCACTTTGTAGTTCAGGCTCACCTTGAATTCACTACATAGCCCAGGCTGGCCTCAAACATGCAGCAATCCTCCTGCCTAAAGCCTCTCGAGTGAGCATGTGCTACCATGTTCAGCCCGGCTTCCCTTCTTCCTAAGCATCGGATCTGACCTAGGCCTTGCACCTGTCCTAACAGGCAGGAAACTGTTACCGATGGCAAAGTAGTTAGGGAGAAATCATTTCTTGTTCAACTGAGTTTACTTTAAAGGTTAATCTATTTAGCCATAGCAACTCAGAACACACAAGTTCTCGGAAGTTATTTTTACTCTCTTCATAATAAGGTCATTGGTCTATACTAAAATGGCCTAGTGGTCAGGAAGAGATGAAAAGGAAACAAATATATGAGCCCCTCCCTACCTCAAAATTCTAAGCAACCAGTTTATAAACATTTTCACATGTTATGACTATACTCAACTAACTGTCTAGACCTAAAATAACAAAAGTACATTGTTTTCTTTTATAGCTCTTACATTTCATATACCTATTGGATATTTAGAAGCCTAAGTTAAAACCTTTAAGAAGTTCTTGTTTCTTAATAGATCTCATATCTATAACAAACATCTATTTCTTACCAAATGTGACAATATTTAGTAGCTTGCTCTGTAAAAAGGCTTAACTAGACTTTGTTATGCTCAACATGAGAACAAACAAATGTTACTGACCCTTATTGTCTGCTGCTATAAATCCCAGGATGTTTTCATGGCGTAACATTACAGTCTGATAAATCTCTGCCTCACGGAACCATGAACGTTCTTCTCTGGAGGAGAATATCTTAACAGCAACTTCTTCTCCTCGCCACTTTCCTCGCCAAACTTCTCCAAATCGACCTTTGCCAATGCTTTCTTGTAACACAATTGTTCTTGCAATTGTTCTCTGAACAAGCAATGGTAAACCTAAAGACAAATGGTATTCAACACAATCAACGATGTATTTCCACCAAAAAGTGACCCAGACAAGTATTACTCATAAAGCTCTACTTTTAAGGAACTTATAATTGAGGAGTTACATATTTTTAAATACCTCAATACTTACTTCGTTTAAAAGGATTTATTAACTACCGACAACATTTAAGAGATGATATTGGGACAATCACTTAAAATCATATTCCCTATCCACTAAGAACAATCATTTAAAATTATACTGGCATTAACAAAATTCCAGTGTACATCATGTTCTATACTACTACTTATAAAATCAATGTAAACATAAATTTATATCATTTATATATTATACCAGTGATGTTGAACCTTCTAGAGCTTTTAATGATACAAATAGTCCACTGTAGCACATGTGCCAAAGGTTTACTAAATCAAATTAACCTAATGGCAGTAAATTAAATTATCTCTTTAGTTCTCTGATGTGAAATACTTGTAAATACAAATAAAGTCTTTTAAGTGATCAGCTCTTCTTTATTAATCTTTGAGTTTCTTACATGACTCCTTTCTTTCCCTTACTTACTCTCCCTACCTCTTGCAAAAGCAGTCAGCAGTCTGACTATAAACAATCATTTTTATGTATAAGGCGACTGCTAGATAAAAATAGATTTGGAAGAAATTCTTATTCAAATCAAAGAGCTGTTTTGTTGTACAATTAGTAGATACTAATTTATAAACTTTTCTTGAAGTCTTACATAGAGCCATACCATGTATTTAAAAGTATACTGAAGAGCCAATTTCTGAAATCTAATATAGAAATTACAAAGGCAGGTAATAAAAAAAAAGCAATCATAGACACATGACAGGTTTAGAACTTATGTAAATAGTAAATTTAAGACAGGCTAAGAAGACAAGGAAGTTTTTGTCTTCCCCTTACCAATGAATGCTAGATGTGGAATCAAAATTAAAAACCAAATTGAGACTAATTTAGATCTCGATTCTGTTTTACTCTTTTGTACCTTTAAAACAGCTTGGGAGGAAACTTCAATAGTGAAACAGGATCCCAAAAGCTTCACATGCAGTGAACAATATAAATAAGACCTAAACAACATGCATACAGTACAAGGGATCATAAACATGCACAAGACATAATGAACACTGGCCTGTCTTCACTCTTTAAAAAACCTGGCACATACTTTACAATCTAATTAACAGATTTAATATGGGCACATCACAACCTGTGATTAAAATGAGAGCAACAGCAATTGTTATTTTCAAGGTTAGAGGTACTACAACCCATCTCTTCACTAATGTCCCTGTAGTTCCCAAGTTAAAAGTAGACTATGAGAAGTAAAAATAAGGCATTTCCTCAAATACGATCATGGTAATGAACATGTGAATTCAAAACAGGAAATGCTCAGTTTTACCTTTTCCTTAATGAGTGAAAGAACTAAAAAGGGAATTACAAATAACATTTTACTTATTGATAGGCAGGAGCCCTATGCACAAGGTGACATTAAGGCTTTATAATGACCATAAGGGAAACAGATGGCCTTTTCTGCTATTACTCAACGGAAGATGGCTTTTGCCTAGCTAAGTTCAGAGAGAATTCAGCATACAATGAACTAAAACAGGGAAAGGAGGCCTTAAATTAAACAGTTTTTGGTATAATGCAGCAAACTGGTGCTGTATGTCAGTTTTCTTCCAAATGTTATGAGTAAGAGTAACACCTGTCATTTGGCTATAACTCTCAATTTACCAAGTGTTTTCATACAAACATCTTGTCTCACTTGAATACAACAATCCAATGACGTGCACAGAGTAGGGTTCATCACTTTCATTTTAAAGATGAAGTAATTTAAGCATGCGATATCAGCTAACTAGCTAAAACCACAGAGCTAGCAAACAATGCAGACAAGTTTTTGCAAGGTAACATATGAGGTAAGAAAGAAGCTTTCAAACAATAGAGAGCTGTAGTTCTTAATAGAGCTAAAAATGGAAAAAAGAAATACCATATTTTATTTCATGTCCACATTTTAAAAGATAAACAAATGTACTTATTCAGAACTGAACTACCAGCTATACCCCAGTGTCTTTTTGTCTGTTTTTTGATTTTGGTACCAGGGATCAAACTCAGGTCTTTGTGCTTGCAAGGCAGGTGGCGGAACCACTGAGCTAAATCCCGGCCCTATTCCCCAGTGTCTTTTAATTGTTTAGGCAGGCTTATGGGCATGAGCTCCTTAGATTTCCCTAAGTGTAACTTTGGCAATAAGAGAATATGTCAAGGGATTAATTTCAAATGATCTGCAACCATTCTAATTTTCTGTGACTTTGGCCCTTACTTACCAGTTTGGGGCCAGATAAATTTTTTTTTAATTAAATTCTTTTATTGGTACATTGTAGGTATACAATACAATTACATTTCTCATTGGGAATTGTACCTTTACGTAATGCATCTTGGTTCTCATTTTTTCCCCATTCCTAGCCCTCCCTTCACCACGCTCCACCCTTCCCTATTTACAAAGACTTTATTTCCATTTTTTCCATTTCTCATCATTTTTCCTTTCCCTTCTTTACTTTCCCCTGCCCCTCCT